TATTTATTAATATACCCCGTTGTGTGTTATAACTTCATATTGCTATTTCATTAGGCCTTTTATCATTTATGATTTGAGATACAGACATTTTTTCCTCTAATGTTTGTTTATATTGCAAGACAATTTGACACAACCCTGACCACAGCACCTTAATCTGCTACTTAGGGTGTTCTGAGCCAGATACCATCCTTAAATAAATAGCAACAATTTAATTGCTTGTTGTTTATCCATATAACTGCTGCAAAATATCCAAAAAATTGGATAGCCCTACAAGAGCACACAGATGGACAAGCTTTTAAAACTAAGAAGAGTTTACTATGGGTTAAAGCAATAAAGGCAACAACTCCAAAAGAGAGTCCAATCCTAGCTTTAGGCTTTTTATTTGTTAGACTAGGTGTCTAGTAGGGTCACGGAACTACCTGTATAGGTTAACTACATTTAAAGTCTTTTATATAGTATATGGATATATTTTGAGATGCTTTTACAGTAATGAATCACTCCTTCCAAGGCTCAGGGATCACTGTGGAAGTGTGTGTGGGGGGAGGAGTCGAGGGTGGTGGTAGTGTGGAGATTGTAAGAGGTGGTAGATGAGAGTAAGGAAACACTGTTGTCTGGACACCACAGGGCACTTGCTTATGTAAACTCACAGCGCTTGTGACAACATGCACAAGAACTGTGTAAGCCCAAGCCAGACAAAATCCTAGCATGTATGGGGGAAGTGGGCAAAAATCCCCAGCTGCATATCTACTGGCAATTGATAGCTGCTGGGAGAAGGAGAGACAGCTTTCTTCAGGGGTGTTACACCCGGGAGGCTGATCAGACTTCAATGGAAAGACCTACACCCAAGAGCATTTGAGAACACAGATTAGACTTGATAGGCCTTTAAAAAAAGAAATAGTATTAGATGACATGAAATCAGGGGATAGAAAGGTGGGTCTAGAGATTGGGGAAGGAGGTCTGAATATGAACAGAATATATTAAAAACAATAAAGGCAAGCATGCTACTTAAAACCCTGATCATTTTCTAATTATCAATTTAACATTTCACATTTATCACATATTTAAGTCTAAAACAAACAGCAAAAGGTAACTTTGTCTATCTCTTCCAGTCTTTTCTGATACTTTTGAGCCAATGGTGTGGCTTGTCTAAACTTTACATTTTAAGTTCCGTTTTGTGCAGTAAGGGTGGGTGAACCTGTCAGGCTACACACATTTTCCACAGAAAAACCCATCATTTGTAGCATCAGTTGTCAGCACAGGTGACCTGGCTCAAGTGGTCCACCCAGTTCTCGGAATGGAAAAGCTGACACAGGACTATGATAACTTGTCCGATATCCCCTGTGGCAGGAAATAGAGAAGGCTGGGCTTTAAATCACCCCAACACATCCCAGATCCTTCCGAAGTCAGATGATAGGCAAAAATAGCAGTGGATACAAATGCCACAATAGTATTTGATATATTTTATATGACAATTTTAGGAAGTGGGGAGAAAGAGAGCATGAGGGAGAGAGGCCACCTCATCTTCATCCCTTTCCACCAGTTTTAGTCATAAATAAAATATCTTTAAATATTGAACTCTATCTTAAGAAATATTAGTTAAAAATGTCACAGTGGAGTGACTTTGTGCCTGAGGGGGAAGACTATTGACACAATTGATGATAATTCTTGATTATTCAATTTTAGTATTTCTATTGCCACAAATATGAGAATTTATTTTGTATCTGAGTTAATAATAATGAAATTAATACTATTTAAATGCAGTACTTTTTTCCTTTTTTAAATGAGTATGTATTAATTGTATAATTAGATGCACTATATAGTCACTGTAACATTCTTATATGTGTATGTAATGCACTTTGATCTTATTGATCCTCAGCTGCCCTCTCTTATCTCCACTCATGCCCTGATGGCCCTCTTTCTCTTCTGAAATAGTTTGTCTTCTATGTTTATGTCTTTAAAAAACATCTAGATTCTTCATAGGAAAAAACACACGACATTTGCCCTCTAGTCTGGCTTACTTTGCTTAACACAATAATAGATCTATATACTTTACTGTAAATGGTATTCTTGTTTTTCTTTATGACTGAATAATATTCCATAGTATATACACACCACACTTGCACTATCGATGTGTTGGTGGGCACCTATGCCATCTCTAGAACCTGGTTGATTCAAGTTGTTGCACAATAAAAATGGGCGTATGTATAGTATGCTGAGTTAGGTTCCCTAGGCTATACATTCAGAAATGGTATAGCTGGGTCATGTGGTAGTTCTATTGTTAGTTTTTTGAGGAACATCCACACTGATTTCCAGAGTGACTGAATGAATTTGTGTTTTCATCAATAGTGTACAAGAAAATGCTTTTTACCCTACATTCTTACCAGCCAATATTCATACTATTTGACTTTCCATTCTAACTGGGGTAAGCTAGAAACTCAAAGCAAGTTTTGTTTTTTTTTTGGGATAGTCTTACGGTGTATCCCAGGCTGGTCCCAAACTTGAGGCAGTCCCCTCACTTCAGCCCCGAGTGCTGGAGATGCAGGCATGTGTCAACTTTAGGTGGTTCAATGTCGTTTTGATTTGCAATTCCCCGAAGATGAAGGATGATGGACATTAATTTCATGTATCTATTGACCACTTGTACTTTTTTTTGAGAACTTTTCAACTCAATTGCTCACTTATGTCAATAGTTTTAATGTTTTTGTGGTTTATCTTTCAAGAGCTAATGCCATGAAATGTGTGTGAATTTTGCCTAAATTCCGGATGTGTTTGTTTACTGCTTCACTTGGGCTGCAGTGGTTTGGACACTGTGCACACGCATCTTTACTCTCTAGTCCACGACTTCCTTAGTCTCACAGACTTTCTCATTCCTTACTGAATCCTGACACACAGCTCATTGCTCGATGATGATAAATTCCGTGAAGCTAAATTTAGTTTTAGCATAACTTATAGTACTGCTTTTCAAAGTATCTGGAATCAGCTTTACCAGAATCATCTGGGTATTTGCTAGAAGTTATTTTCTGGGCTCAACAGCAGACTATTCACAATTCCTGGAGTTGGGCACGGGGCTGGGCATTTCTAGTATGGATTCTAGGCGATGTTCTGCACACTAAAGCTTTTTGGTAACAGCCTAATTCAGATATGATTCACATTCCAGACACACATCCACTGCTGTGCACCCTGGAGTTACTTTTCCTCCAAAGAGTTGTGCAAATATTACATTCATCAATATTATAACATTTTTAGTTTCCCTATGGAAATTCCAAGCACTTTAATAGTCATTCTCCCAACACTAGGCAATCACAAGTATGCTTCATGTCTCTATAGATTTGACTGTCAGTGCATTTTGTATAAATGGAATAATAAAATATGAGTTATTTTATGAATTTCTTCCTTCAATATTAATATCTTCAAGGTTTGTCCATTTTAAAGGATGCATTAATACCTTATTCTTCTTAAATTCATTCTCTACTAAAATTTATTGATTTGAACACTAGTTAACAGACATTTTTATTTTTTCCACCTTTTGGTTACTATGAATAAGAATTCTAAGAACACTTTGTATACAATTTTGTGGTGGACATGTTTTGTCTCTACTGGAATATACTTAGGATATATCCAGTAGATCCAATGGGTCAAATAGTAACTTGAGGTTTTCTTGGAATTTTTTTCTTGCGGTGTTGGGGAATCAAATCCAGGGTCTCATGAGTATTAGGCAAGTTCTCTACTACTGAGCTGTATTCCCAGGTCCCATTGAGTGTTTACTGTTGAGGAGCTACAGACTAAGCAGCCCAGTCACTTTGCAGTCTTTCTGAAGTGGTTTGGTTTCTCTAGTGACTAATAAAGGGATCTTTTACATGCTTATTAGCTATTTATATACCTTCTAGAGGGGTTTCTATTCAAGTGCTTTCCCAAGTTTTAAATTGTTTGGTTGTTTTTATTTGAGTTGTAAGAGTACTTTTTATATTCTGCATGCAAGTCCCTTTATTAACTGTATTTTTTGAAAGTATTTAATCCACTCTGTGGATAGTCTTCCACTTAAAAATGTTTCATAGCATTTATTTATCTCTTTATTCCTTTATTTATTTTTTTTGGGGGGGGGCTGGGCAAGCATGTGCATGCAAACGCATACCATGGTGTACCTATGCAGGAAAGGGGGCAACTTGTGAGAGGTGGTTCTCTCCTACCATGTGGACGCCAGGAATCACACTCAGGTTGTTGGGCTTGGGGCAAGCACCTTTACACACTGAGCCATCTCGCTGGCTCTGTCTTTCACTTTTTGATGATGATATTTGAAATACAAAACTTTAAAATTTTGATGAAATTTATATCATTTTGTTTTTTTTTAAATTTTTAAAATCTATTTTTATTTTATGTGTATGAGTGTATTACCTGCATGTATGTAAGTGCACCCATGTTGGATCCCCTGGAACTAGAGCTATGGATGGTTGTTAGTTGTCATGTGGGTGCTGGGATTCGAACCCAGGTCTTCTGCAAGAACAGCCAGTGCTCTTAACCACTGAGTCATCTCTCCAGCCCCTTTATTTCTATTTTCATTGCTTGTACTTTGGTAACATATCTAAGAAATCATTGGTGATTCAAAATAATGCATATTTACACATTTTTTCTTAACAGTTTTCTTATTTTGATTCCTATCTATAAGCAAGTATCCGATCCATGTTTGAATTAATTTTTATATGGTCTGAGGCAGCATTCAACAATTTTTTCTTCACAGAATTATTTGACACCATAATGAAAATTAATTGACCATTATGTGTAACACAGTATTGTTTTAGAAACATCCATCTACTGCAATTGCAAACTGATCATTATGATGAAGGTAATATGAAATAAAGTTACTGATTTCAGAGGATTTTGATTATATATATATATATCCAAATTTGGTGTGTATGAGAGTGTTGTGATGATTGGAAAGGGTAAGGTAGAAGTGAATGGAAGACTAGTGTTTTCAATGCAAATTATTAACTCTAGAAACTTACTTGGCAAAATAGTCTTATAGCGATTTTTAGTTCCATGACGTGGAATGTCAATTTCTTTGGGATCCACAAAGTTCATTGGTATTTCCTGAAAAAATAAATGATATCAAATTAGTATATCTAATGCTGACACAAAGAAAATCTTCACGGGGGGTATTTGATCCATGCTTTCCTGGACTTCAAAGTAATATATAAAACAACAGACTACAGCCTCTGGCTGACTAGCCCCTTCCTTTCATAAACATGCTAAATGCACCCTGTCAAGCTGGCTTCTAAGAAACAGCACTCTGTGTTGAAAGTATTATTTTACACATAGTCACTAGAGAGATATAAAATACTCTGCTTAGATTTTAAGAATTTGTTGTGACATAGGTGCTGGAAGATACACTTGTAAATAACTAATTATTCAGATTTCTTTGAAACTTTTATAGCAAAAATTTCATTCTTTTAATATCAATTGTGATTCTTGTAGAATAATTAAAAACTCCCTCTCAAAGTGGTAAGTATGGAGGGACTGAGTTTTTCTTGTTGTTGGTCAGTATATTGGAATTTCTTTTGACATTTTGTAATTGCACTCTCATTTTTGGATATAAATGGAATGCATTTAGTGAGGGGAAGAGAGACTGGAGCACTGTCCCTGACTTCTCCATTACTCACTTAATGAAGCCAAGATTTTGTCCAGTGTTTCAGAGTCTCTCAACTTTCCTGAGAGTATTTAGTGTGGGCCTGCCTTCTGAGTTCCAAGTTTCATAGGATTATCTCTAGAGTCTCCAAACTGCTCCTTTCTAGTGCCTTCTTCTACTGCAGATGCAGAGCTTCTTAAAACGAGATTAGGTCCTAACGAGATTAACCCTGAACATGTGCTAAGATTTGCATTTCGTTTTTCTCTTTTATATTTCGAAGGCATAACTTTTGCCACTTTCCATCTTAATTTCAACGCTTCAATTAATCTGAACAATTTATTTCCCCAAACAAGTCAGAAAAGCAGTTTCTCATTCCTGAATTACTCCTTTCTTTGCCCAGTTCCTCTGTGCCACTGCATTATCTGGCTAACTCTTACATACTCAGCCTCAGTTAAGTACTGCATTCAAGTCTGAACACTAATGAGTCGATGAGGCAGAAGGTGGATCTAGAGCCATGGCACTTTATCTTTTGGACTGCAGCCATTTATTCACTATACACTGCTTGAGTGCAGGGCAGTACCATTTCCATAAGTAGCTTTAGTGCTTAGAATATAAAAACTCTGAAGACTAACACCGGTGCACTCACATACATACAAGCAATACACTCATACACATAAAATAAAATAATAAAATAATTAAAAAAGAAGCTTAAAAAAAAACTCTGAAGACTGAATAATAAATAGCAGGCTCACCATGAATTCACTTTGGAGTAAATGTGAACTTGCCACAACGTCTCTGAGCTGTGGCCTTGTGAGAACTCGGCTGGCCGACTGCAGGTACTCCATGGCTACCTTCTCCCGTGGGGTTGGAATGGCCACAAAGGGTTCCACGTTTCCCAAGCTACTCATGTCCAATGTAAGAGATACATTGGACCCTCGCCTACATGGGAAAAAAATGGACATGAATTGGTCTTTTTGTACAAGGACATAGTTCAGTGATATGTTTTACAGCAATAAGTGACATACGTATATATATGCTTTTTGTATCATGACTGACTATAGCAACTCTGTAGTGCCTGAATAGGAAATTGACAATTTTAATGTTGAAAATAACTCTGAACTTAGAGCATCTACTGTAAGTTATTAATGAGTTGTTACGGAAGTAAAAGAATGGCTAAAATTTTTAAATAAAAAAGTAAAAAAGATGTGAACACACATGAATTGAGAAATCATATGTGTTACAAAACAATATGTATGTATATCTGAAAATCCAGCATATAAATCATATAGTCACTAAAAGGTTTAGCAATTCCACAACATATATACATACTTTAAAATAGCATGTAAAGTACTATAAATAAAATGTTAATTTGTTAATGAAAACACAATACAAATTAAAATAGCAACATCTAATTTACTTCACATTGGCCATTAAAATAGAATTTGAAGTATATATATATATATATATGTTGTAACCTTTGGGTAAACCCTTTGTCCTGGGTGTGGTGATAAATGTCTGCACAGTCACTTAGTTCTTTCTTGAGTTTGATCCCCAACACTGAATAAAGCAGGTGTGGTGATAAATGTCTGTAATCCCAGCATTTAGGAGGTGGAGGCAGGAGGATCAGGAATTCAAAGTCATCTTCAGTTACATAGTAAGTTTACAGACAACCCTATTTGAAAAAAAGAAAAACAACAAAAAACCACAGAAAGAAACCAAATCAAAAGATAGCTTTGTAGCCTGTATTCCTAAGTGTATGCATGTATATGTGTGACTGTTATTTATTTAATTTTGTGAACCTTATAAGAGACCATAGAGATCACAGACCTCTTAGCTGAGTTTCAATTTATCTTTTCTATATAATTTCCTCTTCTTTTGGGAAGTATGGCTAAGGTCTTTTGATTACACAGACCTAGTGGTTACTGTGCAGACGATGTAAGTGTTTTACCAGTTACATTAGCTGTGTGGCGCACAACTGCAAAATAACATGGCAATAGTGGCGGCGTGGATGTTCCTATAAAATAGCATGTGAGACGCTGAAGTTTAAAGTCACAAACTGTGTTAACAATTGTTAATTTCAAGTACTAAGGCATGTGTCAGGAGATTAAATAGAGTGCTAAGTGGCTGATGTCCCACAGAAGAGGAGAGCAGGGAGCAGCAGGCCAAAAATTTGAGAGCAAAGACAGTAAGAGGACACTGTAAGCCCAGCAGGTCAATCCCTTTGAATGTGTTTTTATCTACTTACTGTGGAGTGACACATCCAAAAATAGTTATGTCTTTGGAGGTCAATTTTAAGCAATGGGAAATTGTGAGACTATACAGTTAGAAAAACTGATCAGGAAAAATGCATTCATATATATATATGTATGTATAAATAACAAAATTAATCAAAGAAGAGAGCAAGAAATTGAGAGAATTGGGAGGGCATACGAGGAGTTGGAGGGAGACAGAGGCGTGGAAATGAGGCAGATGCAGTCCTCATGTATAAAAGTCTCCAAAAATCCCAAACTATATATTTTTCACTTGTGTGAATCTTCTGTTGTTGTGGTCTTTGATGGCAGTCTATAATTTGATAGGTAATGTTATTTTAATCACAACCTGGCTAGTAATTATAGTTTTAATTCTTGTTTTCACTTGATGGATATTTATTTTTATTTTTTGCCATTAAACTATATGCTTTAAAATGGCCAAAATGGCATTTTGTTGTTATTCCTTAGTTCAGTGCTGAGCTAGCTGGAGTTCTAATGCCAAATTAGAAGGGTTGGGGCTGTTTTTTGAAGGAATTTTTCCTGGAGTTGCCCAAAGTAAACCAGACCCTCATTTGGTGTCTATGTCTGGTTCACCCTAGTCACTTTTCATGGCTGACAGAATTGCATAAGCAGCACAATTTTTAAATTAGCTTCTTAGGTTAGAATACAAAGTAATGGATCTCATGGCATCTTCATGCACATGTGTCACGTAAACTGTTTCATTTGTCTCTCTCCATAGCTCTCTCCAGTACCCCTCCCTCTCTGGCTAGTTTCTTTTCTGTCCCCAGTTAATCTCCATTTCTACTTTCCTGTTATCTTTCTATTACCATATATCCCACATCAAAAGAGAATTAGATGGGTATTTAAGTGTCTAAACATCAATTTGTTTATTAATTTCTCATTCCAGCTTGTGAAAATTGGAAAGGGCAGGACTTCTAGTGGTTGTGAGTTCTTGATTCTTTCTTTGAAGGAACCACTGTGGTAAATTTTTCTGAATAGTTCACAGATAAATTTGCTGGTAACTAATATAATTATTATGTAAGTACCTTATTTATTACAATATTCTATATTTTAAAGATGATATTCTAGCATATTATTTCCTTACTATTTTCCTACTGGATTGTTAAAGCCTGATATATATGTGAACCTTTCACAGTAACTACATGCATTTTTCCTTAATTTCTAAATGTTTTACTTGAAATATTTCAGTCCTTGCATTAGTGAAAGGATTCATAATTACAACTCTTTATTGTAGATCTTATCAATATTTCTTTCTTACAATTTTATACTTAGCTTCACATCTGACTTTAAAAAAATTAATATTGAAGGCCTGTGGAGATGGGTCAGTGGATAAAGTGCCTGTCATGCAAGCAGGAGGACTGGGGTTCAGATCCCCAAGACCCGTGTGATAAAGAGTGCCAGGTAAGCAGCTTGCATCTGTAACTCCAACACTGGTGTGTGTGTGTGTGTGTGTGTGTGTGTGTGTGTGTGTGTGTGTGTGTGTGTGTGTGTGTATAGAGACAGATGGCTCCCTGGAGCTCATTGGCCAGACAGCCTAGCTATATCAATGAGCTCCAGGTTCAGTAAGAGACCCTGTCCCAAAAATTAAAATGAACAGCGATTGAAGATATTGTCCTCTGGTCTCTGATGCAGACACACACACACACACACACACACACACACACACACACACAAGGGTAGTACACACACACACACACACACACACACACACACATACTCACTAATGACATGCCTTGTTCTTTTTTGGAGTGCTCCTGAAAGACATTTTCCCTTTCTGCTATTATTGTTAACTCTTTTGGATGACAAGTTAGGAAAAGAGTGGTTGCATCCTGGATCTCTGGATTTCATGACATACTGCCTACCCCATAGGAAGGTCTATGTACCAGTCTGCTTGTTTATTTGCTTGTCTGTTTTTTTTGGCTCTTGTTGGTTGAAAGATAGAGGTCCTTGTATTTCTGAGTAGGAAGCATGTAATTGAGGAGGAGCATAGAATGGTTCTGTTTTCAGACCAAGAATTTCAATCTATTTTAGTGAGAAAGCAGTTTTTTTTTTATTTTAAAGTTTTTGAATCTAGTGATATTGACCTTCAGTTTCACAGGAAATCCTGGTTCTGATAATGGTTTGTCTTAGTTTTAGAATTATTTGTGAAAAATTGGCTTTTGCTGTTTTTTTTACATATTTCAGTAAGGAGTTGGGGGATACTGCTTCAGGAATTGCCAACCAGAGGCCGCTTTAAAGCAAAATTCTATCCAATTTTCATCCATAAGTGACAAAAGTGCCTTCAGTCTGCCAGTGGAGTGACACTCAGAGCAGCGGAGGTTTAGTAGATGATTTCTTCTACCTAGGGTGGGCAGCTGTATGAAATAAGAGTCATTGAATCCGGCCCTGACGCTAAAGAGATTCAGTAGGAAAATTTTTAGCAGATGGTTTTTTCAGAGGAAGAGTCTTGGAGGAGAAAGAGTGTGGCAGAAAAGCATGACAGGGCAGCTTTGAGAAACAATAGAGAAGTTTGAGCTGGAGCTCAGGTGTGTAAAGTGTGTTTTAGAGGTAGGAGAGTGAGTTTCGTAGGAGATATGAGAGGGAGGCAAGGGTTGTAGAAACTGGCGATTAGGAGCTGCCTAAATCCAGAAAGGGCATCACAGCATCAGTGCAGACCAACTTCATTCCGGCTTCCCATAGCATGCCCTGCCCACACCTGGAAGCCCAAACCTCTGACATCCCATATCTAAGGTCCATTTGCTTTAATGAGCAAGTTTTCTAAGGATTCTGTGGCCGACTGAGAGCCATGAAAGCGTTTCCATGTAAACTGACTTAATAAGGGAGAATGACTTCTGCTTGGCAAGGGAAGGAAGAACGGAAACGAATGTTTATTAAATATGTTATTTGCCAAGTACTGTTCTAAAGCACTTTCACATATGGTATGCCAATATTCATAGCAGTATTCTGAAGTCTGTTTTGCTCCGTTTTACAGGTGGAGAAATAACCAACTTGGAAACGCAGTTGTGGAGCAAAGATTCAAGTTAGAATGTAAAGCACAAGCTCTTTTTGCTTTGCCTCTCAAAGCGTTAGTATGGTGATTATATCAGACTATTTATGTGCACTACATGGAGGTAGAAATCAACTATTTGGGGGGAGAGAAAGAGTCAAGATCACTGAAATGCAACGAAGAGGCAGAATAGTATTCAAATACAGATTTTTATCTTTAAGGCGCAAATCCTGCCTCTCCATGTCCTTTCGACTAGGGCTGCTTAGTCTCTCTGCATCTCAATTTTTTATCCTTTTCTTACTTTTTTAAATGAATAATCAGGGGACTCGAGAGATGGCTCAGCAGTTAAGAGCACTGGCTGGCTATTCTTACAGAGGGCCGGGGTTCAATTCCTAGCACCCACATGACAACTAACAACCACCTGTAACTCAAATTCCAGGGGATCCAACATCCTCTTTCTGACCTCTGCAGGCACTGCACAACATGGGTGCACTTACATATATGCAGGCAATACGCTCATACACATAAAATAAAAAATAATAAAATATTTTTTAAAGTGAATAATCAAACATATGTAGCTCAGAGGATTATTAAAGGGAAATATATGAGATGATGCAAGTAAGTTGTTTATAAAAAGTAATGCAAGAGTGTTATTAAATTTGGGTAACAATAAACAATTCTAT